TGTTACTCCTCCGGTATCTAAATCTTTCTTTTAGTAATTTCTTTTGTTAAGTTTTCCCATCGTTCAATTTGGAAAAATATTTCTATATCTACATCCCTCCTGTTGAGGCATGTGTTATTTTAACACATGCCTCAAAATAAATGTCAGCATCAGGTCAGCTTCAGACTTCTTTGCATTGTCTCAAAGTTCGACGCTGGCTGGCGAGCTCTTCCATTAAATTGAAAAACATAAATTAAGAAAACAACAGTCCCTATGCAGTGATAGAGAAAAATGATTAAGGCATGATACACAGAATATTTGCATTCAAACAGTGTGTGTGGTTTTCAAATTGTGATCCGGGACTCTGAGACCATGTTACTCTCAACAGAACCCCTGTAAAAATAGTTATGCTTATCCCGTTTGTTGTTGTATTGGGAGACCTGCTAAGTCCCTCCTGTTGGTCAGCTGTCTGCACCCTTTGACTTCTGCATCTTACCAATCCGTTCGCTGCTTCCTCCTTCTCTCCTTGCTGCCTCTCTGGGCTCCAGGATGTGTGTGATGATCTGTCACAAAAACTTCGAACAACTGTTTAACCATTTAACCTTCTTTCCCATCTTTACACTTACGCTTACCATTTACCGTACCGTCAAACACCTTATGAGTGTCTCCATCAGTTTTCAACTTCCTCTTGTCCTACTTAACTTACATTTGCTCATCAAGATCAACCATCTGTTGGCCCACTGAGGGCCCCCACCATTACAGTCAGTTCACCATTGTCTTTGTGACTTTCCATCACAATTGGACTTTCATTTGCATCCTCAGTCGTCAGGGCTGCAGCCGCTTTCGGGGGTTTGTTACCTGCGTTCTCTACCTGTGAACTCAAAACTCAACTCATGGTTTGTTAGTGACCTAGAACATTCATGTATTCCTAATGAAAATGGTAGATTATCAATATATCATATATAGTTACATGTTTGTATGGTTTGTTGGTAAAATCATTACAGGATGATGGTCTGTAACAAAGTTTCCCATTCTGTACTGCCCTATGATCTAAAATGTGCTTCCGTCATTAAGATGCTGTATGAGATGTACCGTGCACTGTACATCTCATATCCACACTCAACAACTTGCAGCCTATCACTAAGTTTAAGAGAAAATAACAAATTATTTACAACAAGGTCTACAGATTTGGCTCAAATCACATTATTTCCCACTCATTTAAACGTCTCCCTCTGTGCTAACTATTTACATATATTCACCCACTGGACTGTTGACCGTCTCTACGTCCCTATGGGTCGCACCTCTCTGGGAACGACTCCCTTTTGTCTTACCAGACCGGCTCCACAGACAGCGTCCTGTCCTTTGTCTCTTGCCCAAGACCCATGGGTGTGTGTGCTAATGTGCATCTTCAGGTGTGCTGCTGCTGTGTGTGTCTGTGTGTGATGTGTTGCAGACTCTGATCAGAGTCTCTCTCAAACTCAGTAATTTGTAAAAATGTTTAAACAATAAATGGGAAAATTGTGTTAATGTAAGCAGAGAACAATTACATAAACGTTAAAACAAAGAATCACATAGAGCCTAGAAAAAGTCCATAGACCGTTTGTAATGCAAGCAAAAATCACATGGTCCTAAGAATGGAGGAAGAAAAAAAATGTTAGGATCATTTGGAAAATGGAGACAGGGGAGACACTGTTTAATGGGAATACAGAGTGGAGGTGGGAAATACAGAAACTGTTACATCTGGTGCAACTTTCTTCTTTTAACTGTTGCCGGCTGCCATTTTGGAAATCTCCAAAGCACATGTTCTCCACCCCCAGTAGTGGTGGATAACAAGTCATTGTTGTCCCCTCTGTAGACCAAGCTGAGAATTTCTTTCTCAGCCATCTTTAACTGTTTTCTCTATTTGTCTCCGCCCGCCATCCTGTAATGTTCCAAAAACATGTGCTCCGTCTTCCCCAAGACCAGGCCCCAATCAAATCCTTAATCCGGCTTCATTCTTTTCGCAACATGCAACATACAATTATATACAAGTTCGCAACGTTTTCAACTGATCTATATTTATTGTAAAAATGTATCCAGTAATTTATTATTTTCGGGTCTTGGCAGACGGCCGTGGCACTGTCCTCACCCTTTTCGAATTTAAATTGTAACTTCCAGCCTTCAGGGTCTTGGCGCGCTGGTCCGTGACTCTGTCCTCACCTGCAAGGCGAGTTATATGATGACCTATTTCTTATCTTATCTCTTATCTCTTATTATTTTAGGTCTATTTATCCCTGCACTTAATTATCCGCAAAATTTTAGTCAGTTCTTGGCAACTACGGCGCGTGGCTCTGTCCTCACAAGTTCCAAATGTATTTATTTATCTTTTAGTTATCTAGCCTCATTGGCGTCGTCTAGTTCATATTTGAATTTATTGTGCCGCCTAACAGAGTCTAAAAGAGCTTACGGAGACAACGAAGAACCGCCATTACAACGCGAACCTCTTCCACTCAATTACTGCTGGTAACACTCCTCTGGTTCCATCAGGCCTTGTGGACTTAACTCTGCTAGCGCGTTCTACACAGTGCATTACGTATACAGTCTATAAATTGCTATACGTTTATCCCCAACCGGTTAGAGGCCTATACTAGGTTTCCATTCATTCCTTCTATGACTGATCAGTTAAATAACGTCGCCCATTCACTTAGCGTTAACGCTACACAACCGAGCTTTGTCGGTAACTCACACAGACACGTCCAAACAAACACTATATACAATGTGCTTTTTATCACAACGGCCATTCAAGCTAAGAGAAAACATTTTTTTTTCTCTAAAATGTAGTTTACCTCAAAACAACGTATCTTGTCCTCTCACACCTAAATGTTCTATGATAAACATACAGCATTTCGGTTTTAAAACAACTGGTTGCCGGTTACCTTTTCGATGGCGCCGTGTGAGTGAAGAAAATCGATCGCTGGGCTTTGTTCAGATCAGCTGTTCCTCCGTCCGTCCATTGCTCTCCATCACGTCGGGGTCACCAAATTGTTGTGTTCAAAAATGAAGAAACGCCGGACGGACAGAGGTCATCGCTGATCAAAAGGTTAAAATCAAATGTATTTAATAAAGGAGATGGCGTTGTGGTAAAAAGAACATCTCAGCTGAGGAGCCGCTGGTCTCAGCGACCAACAGGCCCCAGGTCAGTCCTTTGACCATCCCTAGTGCCCGTCTGCTGCCTCCACCAGTGAACTCCAGAACAATGGTTCCTACAGGTATTTATACCAATGCTTAAAGGTGTGAAAGTCAGTGTCCACACCTCTGGGAGTCTTCTGGTGAGTTCAATGTAACTCGGATTTCGAATGATCCTTAGTCAATATCAGTGGTTGTTCAAGTATTACATGCATGCATTCCAGTTGATCACATTACATCAAATACAATCATAACTGTACATTGGTATTATTCTACTACAGTGGTTTTACAATATTGTCATTACTTTATTGATTACACAGTTTCAGAATCATGGCTGTATTCTGGTGTACACTATATGCATTTTTATTAATTTTATGAACCGGATCGTCTATTTGTTTCTAATATCCTACACCATTATTGGGGAAACAAGTTCCAGATTATCTTCACACTAAATTCCCTTTTGCAAACTATAACTGCCAGCGCATTATATTTGTGATAATAATATGTATGTTCATATGGATTAAAGAAGGAACTATAATGGCTACTATTTAATATGGTAAGATAGGAATATATTCTCCCTTCTTCATTCTGTATATGTACATTGATTTCATGTACTGTTGTGCAGGTTCATGTCAAATATATATATATATTTACATTCAACTACTAAATATAGTCAGGAAATTAAAAAGAGTCGGCTTGAGATGTACATAAAACAGACAGAACAACAAAATACGAATATCCAAATTAAAAATCTAATGTCAAAAATATACAATAATATTTCTTGCACAGAAATAATTATTTATTGTAGTCGAAAGTGTAAACCCGTGTAAACTCCCGACTTCTATTACGATATTTTGTTGAAAACATCTCAAATAATAATTTGGATTAAAATGGACCTTTTATTCTCTTTAAAATGTGTGGTTTCAGTAGAAGCTGTTCAGTTTGGAGGACTATCAATAGTGACCTCTAGTGTCTCTGCGGCCTGAAGTAAAAACATTAAAACACTGTACTGTCGTTTTCGTTGTATTTTATTTTATTCCTTATAACAGTTTTCTGTGTTGCTGCTACAGGCTATTACATTTCACGGATGGTCATCCAACAGAATCTTAAGATTCCTAAGACTGTTAAATTGGATATGTCCTGAAAAAGACCTTTGTGCTCAAATAACTACGTGTTTACCAAATGGATAGAAACTACATTACAAAAGGTCACTACAAGCGGACCTATTCTGTAATTTGTTGTCGTTTGGGGCCCGTGTGTCGTTTTCGATCTGGTGTGTGTGTGTGTGTGACGTGTATGCGCATTGACTGCGCAGGCGGGAGCCCAGTGAGCGCTTCAGTAAACTGACAGGGGATTGCCAAATCATTTCCTTGCCTGGGAATGACGTCCCTCCAGCGCGATTGGGTTATATTTAGAGCCTATATATAGTGGAGTCGCCCCCTAGGCTTTGTTGACTCTGCAGCAGCGAGGCATCGCCGCGCCGGGAGGAAACGTCCTGAGATGGACACCACGTGACCCACGTTGGTGCCACATTGTGTGTGATCTTTAAAGCATAAACGTGAATGACCGTGACTTTTGAAATTAAAAATAAAATAAACGTGGCAACGACTTGAGCACACATGTAGCCAAGCCGGCGTGTACACTTTAACAAAAGCCAGCAACGCGGGTGTCTGTGCATCTTTTATTTTAAATAAAAAACAAAAAACACAAACACTAGAGTAAATTTACAAAGGAAACACGTAAGAGTATTGTTTCCTACATTGCGACACAGGAGTTGGGCGATATGACCCGCGCCGGTTGCAGCAGCCAGCGATGCTTTCTGGGTAAAGTGCGCTGCGGTATCCGCCCATATTCGCTGAAGGAGGCCAACATGAGCAGCGAGGCCCGGACGCCGGATCAAATGGAAAGTTCAATCGATTAATTTGCCAACTTTTTTTTTTTTTTACCCCTTTCACACGTTTTACCCCGCTCGCTTCTGTCACGAGGTGGTCTTGATTTAAACACGGGGAGGGGGGGGGGGCTTCGGTGTGAAATAGGAAATGCAGAGATCGTGTGAGGCGAGAGGATTATCAGCTTGATTTATTCGGTCGCTACTTCGGACGCGGAACTGCACTCGTTCAACGGTAAAATGTCATTAATGCGTGTGTGTCGCTTTGTGGTTTTCTGCAACGTCGTGTTTTCATTGATTTCTATCACACAGGTTCCGCTTGCCTTGCAACGTATCCACCGGAATATGTCCTCCATAGTGAGCGCATTCATTCCGTCGGTAGTGCAAACTACGCCCAGTCGTGAACCTCGCGTCTGGCCCTGCAATGCAGACCTTTTCGGCTAAGCCCGTCAATGGCGGCCTCCCACTCGCCACCATTTACCCCGTCCCCCTTTGTTTTGAATGAATGGTACCGAGTGTGTGTGTGTGTGTCCCCGGGTAACGCTAACCCCCAAAACCCAGTCGCTCTTTGTGTTACCACACGGGGGTCGGCTTGTGGGCGCTAGCGTCGGTTAGCTCGGCGGGCTAGCAGCGATGCTAAGCTAGCAGCCTGGCGATTTAAACCACAGCGCGGAGGGTTTTTTTCTTTTCTTCCCCCCTCAGACGCCCAATATGGCATCTAGCGGGCAACGGACCAGTGGCTTTAAATCAAATTCCTTTAGACTCTCCAGCCTGCGGTGGATGGTGTTGCCTGCTCGGACCCAGCGGAGAGGGCTTCCCATCTAAAGGCCTGATTTACCCGCAGTTCATGAGCTGCTACCAAGCGGTCCGCCGTTAATCCACAGTTGCTAAATAAGTCTCATTTTTCTTAACGCTTTGCTCATGTATCATCGGGGGAGACGAGCTTGCTGCCGTGACGGTAAATTAAAGGGTAGCTGTGTGTACAGTGGCCTCCAGGTGGAGTTTTCACACCGCAAACCTCCACAGGGGCAGCGGTGTTTTCGGGAAAATATGTCTTCCATTTAAATCCAAACAGTTTCCCACGTTTAACCACAGTGTGGAGTCACCGAGCCGCGAGCGAGACTGCGTATGTCAACGTGTTTAAACGCACAAATCAGTCAGCGAAAAAAAAAGTTTACTTTTTTAAAATAAATATTCTGTATTATACATGACCTTTTCAATTAGTCCCCTAATTTGCCTCAACAGCACATTGAGTCACCCTCACTGTCCAGACGCTGTGTCATGTAATTCTAACCGGCATGTGGCAGACAACTTTCCTCACTTGCTGAAATGATCTGTGATAATGTCAGTTTCTTTTAGCTGTATAATGTGTTTTCCTGATGGACAGAGGAGCCCTGCTGCGCATGCGGAGTTGGGCAGAATATATTAAACATGCACACCAACCATATTAGGTGTAGTAAGAAGGAAAAAAAGGGGGAAAAATGCAGCTAATGTCGGCCAAATAATAGCCATCAAACCACATTCTGCGCTCTTTTGTTTTGTGTGGAAAAGGCCAGTGGTATTCAGGGAACTCCTCCCTGACTGCAGGCTGAGCGATGTGACTGTTAACTTGTGCACAGGCCAGCTGCCACTGTTTGACAGGGCGCTGCTCCACAAAAGCTGCCAGGCTTTTAAACATTTTGTTGTTTTGGAGCCTTAATGTAATGTCATATATCGCTGCCTGGGGTTAGTTTCTTGTTGTGTCTGTGCTACTCTGAGAACTGCACGTGTTGCTGGAACCCCCACATTTGGTTTGGCACGCTCCCAGTCCCCTGTTTGCACATCATCAGCGTGGAGCCTGGCTCAGCAAAATCTCAATCAGCCAATTGACGAATGACAGTTGTTGGGAAATATCTGAGTACAATGTTTTTTATTTTTCGGTCCCACAGGTGAATCATGACAGAATATAAGCTGGTAGTTGTGGGAGCTGGTGGCGTTGGCAAGAGTGCACTTACTATTCAGCTCATCCAGAACCACTTTGTGGATGAATATGACCCGACCATTGAGGTAAGGAAACCGTGTGTGTTTTCTTCACTCTTTTAATTAAGTATGCAGTGTATCCAACTAGATGTTTAAGGTACAGATCAAATGAACGATTATTAAACTCTGTCATCCACAACCAATACCTTATTCTTTTCATTAAGCTGACCTATGGACACCCGGCCGATTAAGTCCACGTTCTAATTTCCGTGCGACCTCCTCTACCCAGGACTCCTACAGAAAGCAGGTGGTGATCGATGGCGAGACGTGTCTGCTGGACATCCTGGACACTGCAGGTCAGGAGGAGTACAGCGCCATGAGGGATCAGTACATGAGGACAGGGGAGGGTTTCCTCTGTGTCTTTGCCATCAACAACACCAAGTCCTTCGAAGACATTCACCACTATAGGTAAGCTAAGAGACTGAAGGTGTGGGGTCAATACGACAGTAGGGCTTTAATCGCACTTAATAGGGAGGATATTTTGGAGTGTAAGGCTATATATGTAATCAAAATGTCCCTTATTTGTCATTCTCATTTTCCATCTATCCTTTTTTTGTTTCTTGTCTTCTGCCCACAAGTCTAGAAACGGCCAAACTGCTCAGGAAATTACATACGTTGAAAAAATTGCAGCTTTTAGCAAAATCCAATCGTGTGTGTGTACAACGTCTTTTTTTCAGAGTGATGTGTGTGTAATATAATCAAAGGATATTCCCATTGTATCCGTCCATCTGCAGAGAACAGATAAAGCGGGTGAAGGACTCCGAGGACGTCCCCATGGTGCTGGTGGGGAACAAGTGTGACCTCCCGTCCCGGACTGTGGACACCAAGCAGGCTCAGGACTTAGCACGCAGCTACGGCATTCCCTTTATCGAGACCTCAGCCAAAACCAGACAGGTGAGAGTCCAGCCCGAGGCGGCCACGCCCTCAAGACTCAAAGCCGTTCAGCCGTTTTTGTCCGTGTGCAGCATTCAGCTCTGGGCTTGTAGCTTGCGGAATCCACACGTGTTCAAGAGTATTGGCTTAATGGACACAACGGTCCCATGAATTCATTCATTCAATTATATTCCTTCATGGAGATTTAGTGTTTTTGACAAGCGTCCTTGCAGAGGCTTGACAATCTTTGCACTTGCATTGAGTCTTGTGGTGCTGTTGCTTTGGGTCACACATAGTGGTATTTTAAAAATGATTTTAATAAAGTTGCTTGGAAATGTCTCAGGTGCTCATCCTCAAATCCTCTTTGGTCATTTTTTTTTCTCGAATGTATGGGTGATAATGTAATCGCTGCATGCAACTTTCTCGTGGGTATGTGAAATTATATCTCGTTGGTTCCTGTCTGCTGAGGATCCTGCACTATAAATAATCGGCCAATCAGTAAACGTGTGTTAAGCACGAGAGGACAAACTGTCGGTAATTCCCCGGGGGTTAATAATTCTGCTTCCTGGTTACTGTGACCAGGTGTTCTTGGAAGATTTTTCCGTGGCTTATCAAACGGTGTGTTGGTACTTGTGAGCATGGCCTCAGGCAGCCGATTGACCGACCCAGTGCTCTGTCAACACATCTTTTCCTGATCTCTCTCCGACCTCTGGGGGGTGAATCCCTGCTCATTCGGGTGCGGGAAAAATGAATGACACCATGATTAATTTCTTACAGATTGGTTTACCTATTCATACACGAGTGCACCACTAATTCACGGTTCACACTGTGCTGCTGCTGTTGCAACAATTCTATAAAGCTTTTCATTGAAGAAGGAAAAAAAAGGTTGTCACAGGAGGTGAGTGTTCTTTAATCCGCAAGACGTTTGGGTGGAGTATAACTTTTATATGAGGCGGGCCAGACGGCAACACCCACTTCAACACATTGCTGCACTGGTATCTGTAAGCTGTAACACATGCACCCATTCAGTGTGTCCTCCTGTGTTCCTCAACATTGAGGGAAGTTGTGTCTCTAATGCCGCAGAGAGTGGAAGATGCCTTTTACACTCTGGTACGGGAGATCAGGCTGTACCGGCTCAATAAGCTCAGCAAGGAAGAAAAGACGCCGCGCTGTGTCAAGCTTAAAAAGTGTGTTGTGATGTGAAAAGGGGTAAGTTTTATGCAACCGCGCGCCCATCAGCTCTCTGTCCGTCTGTGCGTGCGTGTTGGTGGTGGATTGTGGAGACGTTAAAGGGAAGAGGGCGCTCACTCAAAACCAACCTGTCTCTACTGGGCGCTGTGGTGGAGCTCTAACGAGGCTGAAACCAGCACAGGATTTTATTCCCCTCCCCCCCCCCCCCCCCCCCCATCCTGTTCAGTGTCTTCACGCTGTCTACTTTTGTGCCAATCCGGGGCTAAGTTGCGTAATTCTTTCCTCATCAAGATGCTATTTGAGTTTCCATAAGAAAGTGAGGCATCTAGGTGTGTGATGAAGATGGAGGCTGGTCATGCACTTCCACGTGAGCACCATGGAAATACGGCCGGCGTATGAAAAAATGAGAAATAAATATAACTCACTGGCCGCCTGGTGGGAAAGCTCTAAAATGGTCTCCCTTTAAGGCTGTTTCTGCTCCAACACCAGTGAGGTATTTCAGGTCCTCGTTTGATGGGGAAGAAAACATTAATTCAAATAACCACTGAAACGTATTGGAAATGACCTGCACACGCAATGTGCTACAGCACTGTGGACAGCGCCCCCTGTAGGTTGCCTTGGTCTGCACCCGTGTTCAGGAAAAAGCACATTTCCGGGCAACTTGCTCTTAGATTTTGACTAAACTACCAGTGTGGGGGCGAAGGAGCCAACGGGTTATTGTACGACATGCAAATCTGGGACCAAATCCTGTGCTGATGATCTCACGGAGGATGTGATCCACAAAATTAGAAGATATGATGATGTTGTTGTGGGTGGCTCCAAATCCCGTAGTCTTTCCTTTCTTGCTTTCGCCACTACGTCACCTCGCGCAAATGGCACTCAACACACTGTTCTAATGTCCACGCGCCGGCCTCTGTCCGGCATCGACCCGGCAATAGCTGTGTCGACACGGAGCCATTTTATTCACTCGTGGTCGGAACATTTAAACACCAATTCATTTTTTGTTTTTAAACAATTCTGTTTGCTTTTGCACAAACTCACAGCGGTAGTCAAATGTTGGCGCAAGCAAAAGTTTGCTTGTGTTGGCGGATGGCGCATAGATTAAATAAATGTAAATGACTTAACGGCCATTTAAACATGCTGCGGGAGTTCGGCGGTAAATAAACTGGCTCATGTAGCTGCAGCTGATGTCCGTGTCGTTGTCCGTGGGAACACTGTCGTTCCCTCTGAAATTAATCATGTTTGATCTGTACTTTATTCATCTGTCTCTCACAGCCTAAAATGGAGTGAGAAATGCAACGGCACTCTGATGTGTGTTATGCTGATGTAAACATTGACCATATCAAACATTTTTTTGGAGATTGAAGTTTGACTTTTGGGTTTTGAATTGGGAGAAGGGGAAAAAAAAAACCTGAATTCAATTTAAACATTTTTGTCTCTTTTGAAGTCCAGACTACAGTTTGGTATCTACTATCGGAGTGTTGCTTTGGGGTTTGATCTGCCCCTAATGATGATTTCATTAGCGTTGGATTACTGTATAAACTGAGTGGCTTTTAAATTATCGCCTCCGAATCAAAAAACATCAACCATCAGTCTGAAATGGTTTTAGATTCCTTTTTATTTTTCCAATCATTGGTTTACTGTTACGAAAATAACAACCTGACACTCAATAATTCCTTTTTTTATTGTTTCTTTTTTTTCCAGGGTGTTGATGATGCCTTTTATACATTAGTGAGAGAAATCCGGAAGCATAAGGAGAAGATGAGCAAGGAGGGTAAAAAGAAGAAAAAGAAGTCCAAGACAAAGTGTACCCTTATGTGAATAATCACCCCTTTTCAAGACAGACGAAAATAGAACTATGTTGAACAGTTAAAGTAATACATTTTGTACATTACACTAAATTATTAGCCTCTTTCTGAATACCCACCATACTGAATACTAAACTTGACCCCCTTTCTGCCTTTATTGTTTGCTACTCGGACACCAGTATGCTTTATTTTCAGTTTTGTGCCAGTTGCCCACATGTGTTGGTCCAGCCGTTTGATGTCATTGGATGAATTTACATTTTCTTTTTGTATAAATACCTAATGGAGCGCTAAGCTAATTGCATCACAGCTCACGTTTTGATAAATTATTAATTACCAAGTCCCCCCCCTCCCCTCGTTTATAAGGTCATCCATGACCTGTAAGAGATTTTTTTTTTAAACTTTGGGATGTCAAAGAATGAACTTTCATCTGTCGTGGACACAACGGATTGGAGGGCGGGACCAGCATTCAGCCAGATGAGATCCAAATGTTCCGACAACCGTGTGACCGTCTCCTCGGTATGACGTCACCATGTCACAGATTAGTATGCATGCAAACACCTCTCCTAATATTTTAACAACCTAACTAGCTATTCATTAATTTGCAATTTGTCAATGCTTTGTACTTTGTGGGCAGTGACTTCTTGCCTTCATGAGATGTTTTTTTTTGCATGCAATGTCAACAGACAACACAAGTATTTCAAACGTCCCCTGATGATGCAGCAGTGGGGATTTTACGCTTTTTGTTTTCGGGCTTGTATGAATAAAGTAATCATCACTCGCTTTGGTGAGTAGCAAATCTGCCATTCTAACTCAACTAATGACAAATTCAGAGTTGGATATTCTTTGGACTGTTGAACAAGGGCCAGTGCCATTTCATGTTGTAGGGATTCATGCCTAATGACCGTGACTACCAAGCAGCTTGTTGGACCTCAAACCATGCCTGCTTTCTTGTACTCTATTGCTATTTGTTACAAAACAGTTGAGTTTTCCTACTCGACCCGTACAAGGACCGTTTATTGGCTCTCTAGTCAACGTTTGTCAGGTTCAGTCTGCGGGTCGGTGATTCTCCAGTAGCTGGCAATAGAGCGTCCTGCCTTGCACATTTTCCTAAGCTGTGGACTCGTTTGTTCGTGACTGGCTAGAAAGCAGGAAAGCGTCTTTTCTGCTGCTTTCAGGAGCGTTTTTCTGGTGTCAGAGGTCGTTTCAAAAATGTTTTCCAAAATGGATTTTCGGAATTCTTCCTTTTCGTCGGGTTTTTGGATTCATTTTTAAGTGTTGAAATTGTTAGGTGGGCTGCCTTTCAACAGAAATGATTGTCCAGCAAGGTAATTTGTCATTTTCTCTCACAAAGCTTGTTTATCTTGGTGGTGTTACTGGAACTGATGTTTGTAAATGAGGCAATAATTGACATGAAATTGGTTTTTACAGAGAATTGTCTATTAAAAAGTCCCGGGTCAACTATTTCCATCGTATTTGCAAGCTGTTCCCCTGGGGATTTTTATTTGCCTGTTATGTTTGCATTAGGTGCTCCATGTAGAAAGAGACCAGTAAACATTTACTTTAAGATGGGAATGCTCAAGACATGGACAAAATGCCGTTCCAGCAGAGCAAAGATATTGATACAGAAAATCCACACATTATACATTTTTCTTTTAGGATTAATGAATTTTGACTGTTTATCATTACCTTTTTTTTATTCATTTAGTAGATAATAACTGTTAAAGCAATTCTAATTGTGGAACCCTCTCGTTAACCAAACGGTTTCAAAAGTAGTTTTACTGAAATGTTTGAATTGTTCCTCTTCCTTTTTTTTTGATTGCGTGCCAACAGCTAATTTCTGAAATGTATCATTTATACCTGGATCATATTTTAACAACATTTGTATAGTTGTGATACTGAAGGGTGCATATTTTGTAAATTGTGCTTAATTTTGTTGGTGTGTCTAAATGAATGTTGCTTTAAAGGTGTTCCGCTCTGTGTATGTGATTAAAGTGTGTGTGTGTGTGATTGGGTCCAGGTCGAGGGAAGTGAATGAATGAATGACCACTTTGCAACACACCTGTTGTGGGCAGTGCACCGTGGTGATCTGATCTCACACCAGTCTATTTTTGCCATGAATCTCACCACTCCTATTTAATGTGTATTAAAGAACAAATACAAGAGGAACTTTACTTTGTCTTTCTTTCTGAAATTGTCTTGATTTTTAAAATGTTTGGTAAGTTATCGCATCGAGGCCTATGGGCCGTTTTATGAGCTCGTGAATCGACCTGTTGAAGTGATGTTTTCTATCTGACTTTAAATGATATCGCTGCTGCCCAGCAGGTGGCACTATTCACTCATTTTGAGTTTTTCAGAGCTAAAGGGTTATTCTACTAGCTGCCCAAAGAGTGAACACCGATCACGCTTTTGCAAGTAGTCGTTTATTTTCCCCAAAATACCAAGATTTTTCTTCTCATATGAGAAAAGGGGTACTAAAAAGTTGTTAAATCAGTGGCCTGTCACTTTTGGTTTAAGTAATCATTTCATGCGTTGTCAACTTGATTATTATACTTAATGGTTAATGAGGAAGTTCTCATTTTCAAAATTCCCAAAAAGAAACTTTCCTTTCTCAGCAAAAGGAGATATTTAACGTGGATGTGTTTTGGGATGTCATTAAATGTATATCCGACCAATATAATTTAGAAAACCATCTACATATTAATGAATGTGGCGAGAGCCTCAATTCAACGTGATACATATTTGATCATTGAACTGCAGGTTCCCAAGGTGACTCGTCTTAACTCATCCTAAACAAACAAGCTCAAACTCGTTCAAAGGGAGAAACATTTAGCTTTCAAACATACATTTTCAAACACATTTGCCAGTAACCAGCATTATTCAGACAATGGGGTAAAGAACACCTCCCATCATTGCAAGATATATTCATTAAATTCGTTCCAACACAACTGTCCTCAAAGGGTTCCCTCTCTAAAGCCACTGTCGGTTTTGGCTTAAATGAGATTTGTTTTTGTAGGATGTGTAATGCTCTGACATGTTAGTGATGTTGTGACATGAAAGTTACAGTACTGTATTTGGCAATACTGTATATTCATTTCACTCATTTTATGGGCGTGTCGTTTTGCATTATTTACCCTCGATAATTGTTTTGTGTTTTGCTGTATATGCGAAATGGGAACTCTAAATTTCAAGATTTATATTGACAAAATGGAACTATGGCATTCAGGACAGGGGAAGTCAAGCGTTTTATCAGCATTTTGATTTTGATTTGAAGCATTTTATTTCTTGAACATGTAGACATTAAAAATAAAAAAATTAAAAATCAACATAGACGTAGACCACAAAATTAGAAAAGTCACCTTTTGTTCAAGAAAAGGAGTAGAGGGAAGCAAAAGCTTATAGATACCCACCCCTATCTTATCCATATTCTCAATTAGTATATATTACTTTGAAGATTAATATCATACATACATACACACACTCTCTCACACACACTCTCACCCACACACACGCACGCATACTCACACGCACAGATAAATACAATTTAAATTTCCTTCACTGAATATTTTCACAGATCTCATATTTGGCTAATGTGTATAATTTAAGATGCTTTTTGAACTGTGCAATATGTTTACAATCATTGATCTTATCTGGTAAGTTGTTCCACAACTTCACCCCACAGACCGATATGCACCTGCTTTTGAGTGTAGAGTGCACCTTTGGTTGCCTCAGTTTCAGTCTCCCTCTTAAATTATAGTCTCCTAGTCTGTCGCTAAACCAACTTTGAATGTTTCCTGAGAGTAGGCTGTTTCTTGCTTTAAATACAATCTGTAACGTTTTAAAATCTTTTAAGTCCATAAATTTTAATATATTTAATTTCAGAAATAATGTGTTTGTGTGTTCATAGTACCCCACCTTATTAACTATCCGTATTGCTTTTTTTTGAATTGTGCATATTGCCTGTAGGGTGCTTTTGTAGGTATTACCCCACACTTCCACACAGTAACTCAAATAGGGGGCAAACAGTGTACAGTACAGTGTATGCAGTGATTGTATATTCAATATATGTCTGACTCTGACTAGTATCCCTGCACATCGTGCCAATTTTGAGTGTACACGAGTGACCTGTGGCCTGCAGCTGAGCTTGTGGTCTATCATTACACCTAGAAAGGAGTATTCAAACACCCTTTCGATTTTTATATTATCGATCTTTAGTTCAATGTGTGTGTTTGCTTGTGTGTTACTTTTACCAAAGACCATAAATTTGGTTTTCTTTACATTAAGTGATAATCTATTTATATCAAACCACAATTTCAGCTTGGTTAACTCAGTCGAGACCGCCTCCAACAACTGTTCGAGGTTCCCTCCTTCACAGAATACATTTGTGTCATCTGCAAAAATAACATTTTTCAGGATCCTGGAAGCATTACTTATGTCATTTATATAAATAATAAATAGTTTTGGACCCAGTATTGATCCTTGCGGCACACCACAGGTAATATTTCTTAAGGTGGACTTCTTATCCCCTATCTGTACAAACTGTTTTCTTTGTCCTATGTAACTATGTACCCAATTTAGTCCAACCCCTCTGATCCCATAGCTTTCCAGTTTGTGTAGCAGTGTATCATGGTTTATTGTGTCAAATGCCTTCTTCAGATCTATGAAGACCCCTATTGCCATCTTTTTGTTATCTATTGTGCTTGTCAGTTCTTCTACTAAGTCCATGAGTGCCAATGATGTTGATCGGTTTGGCCTAAAACCATATTGACTATCTATGAGTAATCCATGTTTATCTATGAAACTGTCCATCCTTGTAGCAAATATGTTTTCCAAAATTTTGGAAAATTGTGAAAGCAGGGAGACTGGTCTGTAGTTATTGTAAAGGTTTTTTTCACCTTCTTTGAAAATCAGAATTACCTTAGCAGTTTTCATTTTGGTTGGAAAGAAGCCCGTTTGAAGTGAAACATTGCAGATATGTGCTAGGGGATCTGCTATATTAATAATGACTTATTTTACTATTGTCATATCAATACCATTCCAGTCTCTTGATGTTTTTTTTTTGAAGTCATTAACTATGGCAATAATTTCATTTTTATCGGTGTCCTTCAGAAAGATAGTATCTGGGTTCCTCTTGCCCAAATAATGTGCTACACATCCCCCTTGCGGAAGGTTTATCTGCTCTTCTAGTTTAGGGCCCACATTTACAGAATTTAAGAATTTATTGAAGCCTTCTACCATCTCCTTTTTGTCATTAATAATCTTATCATTATCTAGAATTTCTTCTGGCAATCCAGAGCTGGTCGATTGATTTCTTATAATTGAATTTAAGATCTTCCATGTTTCCTTTATATTATTTTTATTTTTATCTAGTAGTTTACAATAATAATCCTTTTTACAATTTCGCATAATATCAGTTAATTTATGTTTATATCTTTTATACTTCATTTCTTTCTCCTTATTTCTATTCTTGATAAACTCTTTATATAAGAAGTTCTTCTTTTTACAGGCGTTCAACAGACCCTTTGTAAGCCAAGGTTTATCTGAGCGATTTGCTCGTTTTCTGCTTTGCTGAATTGGACAGCATCTGTCATATAACATCAGAAAAGTTTGCAGGAAGGAATCATAAGCATAATCAACCTCCTCTGCCTCATAAACCTTTCTCCAGTTTTGTGCACTTAATTCATTTCTGAACTTGTTTAGATTGTCAACCGTTCTTAATCTCCTTTCTATCATTTCATTCCTTTCAGCCAACCTAGGTGCACCGCTGTAGATTGCAAACACCGGCAGATGGTCACTAATATCATTTAATAATAATCCACTTTCTATATTATCTATTAGGTTATTAGTAAAAATATTATCTATAAGTGTTGCAGAGTGAACTGTAATTCGTCTAGGTTTAGTAATAGTAGGATACAAGCTTCTGCTGTACATTGCATCCATGAATTTCTCTATCGGTGTTAGTTAGCATGAGTGTATATTGGAAAAAAGTTGTAGAATTTTTTTGCTTATATTTTCTGCATATCAACAATGAAACATTTGTTTTACGTCATTCATGTTCTGCCAAACAAAGCAAGACTCATCAATGATCTACGTTAAGTTTTCTGCCTTGCGTTAGTTACCGATCAGTTGCTATTGCATTACAGGTCATTTAGCTGACGCTTTTATCCAAAGCGACTTTGCATTGCATTTGTAACCCATGGCTTTTTACAGTTTTGCCTGGGGAACAATTAGGGGTTTAGGTGTCTTGCTCAGGAACACTTCAACATGGGCCATGGTGCAGCCGGGGCTCGAACCACTAACCTTGCAGTTATCAGCGCACCCTCTCTACCCCTGCGCCACGTCGACTATTGAACACGTTCGCTCTTAAACTTTATTGTTGTAACGGCAAACTGAAAATGCCTGAAACCAGAGATTCCGCTCCAAGAAACATTTCATAGAGCATGCCAGCGCAGAGACAACAAAGAGCAGCGCCCTCGTCAACATCTCTGCGGAGGTGTTATAGAGGTCAACACAACTCTGCATCGGCCCTGTTTCACACGCAGTACCTGTAGTGGTGGCAGCAGTTGTCCTCCGGCTGCTGCAACACATTGCATCATGTGGTTGAGGGTGTGCTTGTTTAATCATATTCTGTGAAAGGGAATGTCATGTAGCATCACCCGCGAGACGTTTTTTCTTTTCAGGTATCCGAGAAATAAATGGCAGCTCGTTCGTGACCCGAGATGGCATACGCGCCTGTGCACGTGTCACGCTTGTGGCATAATTGGCTGCGAAACGATGCTCTGTGTGAAAGCAACCTCTAAAGCTCTTTCCTCTTTGGGTCCACTGTCCAAAGTTGTTTATAGGTCTGGCTTATTACAAATGAAATATAAAGTGGCAAGTGGTTTATAGGTGTTCGTTCTTTGCGGCCGTCTGATTATTATTTCACAATTGTTCCACACTGGGGAAGGAGAAAGCTCTTTTCAATGGAAGTTAAATTGTTTCCAAACTGTTGCTCCGAACAATAAACTCTGGTAACATATTGTGACAAGCTCTATTACTCTTTCTTCTTAAACAATGGGGCTGCGCTGCCCGCCACACAACCGCCAAGAGGGAAACAGAAAGGAGATCTAATGAATTATGCAGAGGGAGCTTTCTCTCTCAGCCTGACAGTCTGAAACCAGCCTGGAGAA